GCAACAAATCTTATTATATATTTTTTCTTATTTAAACCATATTCATGAAGGTTTTATTGCTAACTTGATCCAGATGACTGATCAAAGCATAGTTCATTATTGCCACCTTGCTAAAATATTTTTAAAGGCAGTTTTAATATTACACTTCTATAGCTACATATTGCCATTAAGCTATTGAATCTATTACTAGTCAATCAAGCATTTTCATTTTGTTTCAAGAGCTCCTTGGATAAGCTCTTCAGAAATGTTAAAAGATATGGAGTATCTGGCACCTTTTCACAGCTGGTGTTCATCAGGGATTTCACTTGACGAATAAAGCTTGTTTTCTATAATTGACTTTCGGTACTGGCGAAAGTCTTTCAAAGATCTCTGCTTTTCCACAGGCCAAGGGACAGTAAGGAAATGAACCTGAAATACCCCAGGATGCCTTATTTTTAGGGACATAATCAAGAAGACAGTGGATTAGTTCACTGAGTCCAACTACTAGGGAATGGAGTTCTTTCCAAAGACCAATTCAACTTCCTTAACAGCTCCAAACCTATGCATTTATCGTGCACTCCCCACTCTCTCCAGAGTAATAACAACAAACAAAAACCAAAGCACAACAGCAAATGTCAAATGATCACATTGAGTTAAATCCTCAATTGGTTCATCGTAGACTCTCCTTGGGGATTTCTCCCTCTCATTTGTTCCAGAGTAGCCTGCGCCCTCTCCATCCCTTCGTTTGTACATTTGTTTCATACACACTTACTGGCTGATCATCCACCAGGTGTACCCACCTACACACCAGGTAGCGAATGCAAGAGTGCTGCCCTCAAGTGCGTTTCACCCTGGTGATAAAGTCAAGCAACCAAATAACTACTGTAGTGGAAGGGGCTTTGTGGAGTGGACAGAGGATTCTGTAGAAAGTCTGAGGTTGCTGGGAACATTATGACATGTATTTTCTGTTCTTCTATGCGACAGTGTGTCATGACTTTGCCAACAAGCCAATACTCAAAGAGCACTTAGTCCTTCGTGAAGTGGGTTTAAGGGACTTGTGTTTCTAGCCACGATGGTGTTGAAGCTAAGACCAGAAGAATCAGTGGGTATAACTCAGATTTCAGAGATAGAGGATAAAGGACATGCCAGAATCGGAGACAGCATGTCCCAAGGCTGAGGACAGGGTGAGAGGTGAGGCTGGAGAGGGAAGCAGCAGTCACCTGGCAAGGGACTTGCACACATGCTGGGGATCCAGGCTCTTTGCCTGAAGTCAATGAGGAGTCTCCAAAGAACTTGTATCAGGAAATCTGTCAGGAGGCAGCGACCTGGAGAAATAGGGGGTGTCTGGAAGAAAGAGCAAGTAGAAAATGAAATCTGATTAGCCTTGTCTCGGCAGCCATGACATAATACAGTAAAAGGAATAAAACCCAGTTAGATGAAGACGGAAGTGTCAGATCAGCAGTTTGGTAGACGCTGCCTTCAGCCAATGGTTCAATGCGTCTCTGAGTTTCCAACTAGTGTACTGTGGAAGGACATTGCTGCCCATCTCCATGTTGGTCTTCCTGGGGTTTTGGTTATGAGTGCCTAGGATGTTTTTAACAGCTTTAGAGTGGGCACCTCGTCTATCTGACGGCTACAGGGATATGAACTGTGACTCATGAGATCACCTAGACAAATAATATCCTTGTTCTAATCTTTATAACTTTCTACAGTTGTTCATCTATTGACCATTAGGGAGTATTATTCATGACTTCCTGCCCTTCCAGACTATTCTTTGTGTGTTAGGAAATCAATATAATTGGGTGAAGATGAGGGTAGATCGTGCAGGGTTTTGTTGTGGTGGTTTCTTAGTTTTGTTCCCATTTCCCAGAAAAGATGGATTTATTTTCAATTTGCCAGTTAAAACAGGATTGGCCAAATTGCTTTACAGAAAAGAATACTAGCAACCAGCCTGTAAGAAATCGGTCACAGTTTAGAGGACATGTTACAAGCAAGATAAATAAAAATGGTCTAGGGTATCAGACCAAACTCTAATTTTTCATCTCTGTTTCACACTCTTCTCTTCCAGCCCAGACTAATCAAAAGAAGCCTCTTCCGCTCACAATTGCTCTGTGTACATTTCTCCCAGATCTGGTATTCACATGAACAATGTGGTTTATTTATATTTCAGCACCAAATTGGAAAGATGACATCATTCATTTACAGTCTTTATCCCATGACATGTCTACTCTCCAACACCTCATTTCAGCAGACACATTTAGGACTGCATAGAGCATCTTGTTTAGCTTGTACATTCTTTTATGGGATACAGTTCAAAGGTAGGGAACTTTAGGCTTGTCGCTGGTAAGAAAATAATCTCATAAAATCACAGGAGCTTCCCCAAAGGAGGAGGGCATTACGATGTTTACAAAAGCAGAGTTATTATTTGTTCATTTAGACTCCATCGCTCATTTCTAGGCGAGTCCCTTCCTTCATGACCATAGCAGATCTTACGGCTCCCTTCAGGCCCTCCGAATTCAATTTAGGAGATACAATTCCAGATTTATTAGTTCATGAGTTCAAAAGTACAGGCTCCTGACAATACTGGAATTTTAGGTGTGAGCGCTGAATCTCAGAATCTCATGTCCAAGGGCTGACGGACCAAGGGGAAGCCCAGAGCTTGGTCTGCCACAGCTCCCCTGACCTGCTCTTTCTCACCAGACACAACTCGTCCACTGGGTCCTCTGACACTTTAAGTGGACAAGGGAAGAGTGGAAATGCTATCCAGCTGCCAAAGGTTGCCTGAGATTTTTTTTTTTTATTTAATTTTTAAGTGGATCTTTTCCTCCATTTTTATTGTTTTCCTCCATCTACATGTAGTTTTTTACTTCCACTCTGGGGCCTTTCGGAGTGTGTACACATTTTTAAAACTGGATTGAGTAAATCATGAGACATCTTCTGGCAGGTTGAATTGGGATGTGAGGTGTTTCCAAAACTGAACAGAACCAAAGCATTTATGGGAGAGTTATTTCTGCCTGTATAGCTATTTGCCTTTTCTGCTAGCAATGGGGCCAGGGGAAAAAAAAAAAACAAAAAAAAACAGAGGTTGGGAAATGGAAGACCCAGCTAAACATCCATGTTCCATGTCAAAACAGAGACTCCAGGTTCTTAAGTCTATACCTTAGTTTTCTAGTTGCCAAATAAGGTTAGGAATAATTTCTCCTGGGAAAGTTTTCAAAATAAGTTCGCTTGCATGTAAAAAATACTATCTGAATGGACTATGTTAGTTACAGAATTCCTTTTATTATCAGAGTATTGTTGATATTACATAAATCAAACTCCAACTGGTTAGAGGCTCAGTCCTTGATTCCTGGCTCTCTCCGGATGCTGACATCTTATGGTCATCTTGAGCTACCAACAGAATTGTTAAGGCAACTCATGACATGCCCCCAACTCTCAGTGGCCATCCCTGCTACAAACAGGCGTGCAACTGGTCTCTAGGATGGCGGCACCCCTCCAGGTCATGCTCCCTCATTCTTTCAGTCACTCATTACTTCAGCAAGTATTTTGTCTCTACCTCCGCTGGGCCCTGTGCTAAATTCTGGGGAGAAGCAGATGAAAGAAATAGCCTCGAGGCCTCTGGACAGATGGACGGATAAATCTATGGTGGCAGAAGATGGTAAGCAGGAAGCACATGTCACCCAGCCTCAAAGGAGAATTCTCTAGAGAGAATGCAAGAAGGCTTCAAAAAGTCCATTAAAAATGTGTGTTATGGAAAAATCTATGCATGAATTTCAAGTTTTTTTTGGAGAGAGGGGGACACCAAAATAAACTCATACCTGAATTCCACTTTCCAAAGACGTTTGAAGTGCCCTCAGTGTCTCATTAACCAGACATTGAAGTCAAAGGTGAAGAAAGAAGGCCAGGGAACCATCACAGGCAAAAGAAGGAGAAAACTCATATAGCAAATAACAACGGCAGCAATAACAGTAATGAACTGCCAGCTCATTAGGTACCAGGTTCTGGACTGACACTTGAAGTCTATCATATCATTTGCTCCTTATCTTAGCCCCAGGAAGGGAGATACTATTATTACTCGTATTTCTAGAGTTGAGAAAATTGAGGTTTATAAATAATCAGCTTTCTTAAAACCACATAACCAGCAGAAGTAGGGCAGGACTTGAATCCAGGCAGTTCTATTTCCAAACCCATACTTGTTGCCTCGGCACTGCCTGGCTTTCTGGGCTAGATAGTCTTTTTTTCTGCCTTTTTCCATGGTCTCTAGGCATTTTTCTAGATTCTGGGACCCTGTTAGGTCAATTCACTATTGGTCAGTTTCTTGCCCTGCATAAGAAAACAATACAGTTCTATGGCCCTGGGGGTTTAACTAGGACACCTGGTTGCTTCGTGTGATGAACATCATGAGGTGTCAGTTTGATGGTCAATTCTTTTTCCATGGACTTGGCACCTTTTGCACAGTTCCCTAGGAACAGGATCATTAAAATGTCCATAGGGAGCCCTTTTCCAAGGAGTTATCATAGCAAGAAACCATCTCCATCAGTATTTTGCATTTGCAGCTTTTGAGTGGATTCCTCTGCCTTGTCTTGTGGGACCATCGTTTGTCTATAGTTCTGTCTCCACCCAGTCCTTTCCCATCTTTTCAGCCAGGGCTTCCTTCTGGCTTGCTCTAGAGTGTAGGATGTGATTGTTGGCACTTTGTGATTGCAAGCTTACTCTAGAACTCTGTGGTTGCTTGATGGTATAAAGCAAAGTACCTTAGGCTATGTCCATTTTTCCCCCTTTGAAACCATAAGGTACATTGACAGTTACCGATGTAACATAATAGCTTCAAGGATGCAACAAAGCCTCTTTGACCCGAGCTAATGGCGGGCTTTCTTAATAAGCTTTGATTTGCCTAAAAACATGAACACTTCTGAATTAGGAACAAAGGGAGCCCTCTAGGTGCTGTGATTATGCCCTGAGTCTCTTCGACTGGTCTTCTGGCTCCTGATGGACTCTCCTCTGGTTTTTGTTCTGCACAGACCCAGAATAGGATGAAGCTGATGGCAGACAACTACGATGAAGACCATCACCATTACCACCACCACCACCATCATCACCACCATCGATCTCCTGGGAGGTCGCAACATTCCAATCACAGGCCCTCTCCGGACCAGGTCAGTTTCATTGCCGCTTACCTCCAGGACCCCTTTTACCCTTTGGATATTTTAAGATAAAATAAATAAGCCTCAAGAAATAATAAACAGCATAAAGTGATACGTTCTTTGAACTGAAACTAATAGCTTTGGTATTTATTTCCATCACTCAAGGAATCTAAATGTTTTCCTTTCTCCTTCCTCTTTAAGGTTTTGTCTTTTCTTGTTTATGTTATGCATTTTCTTTCCTCCCCTCCTTTCTTCTTTCATAGATATGGAGTCCGTTGCTGGCTCAGTATCTAGTGGTGGCTTACTTTGGAATGTCTCTTTCGTAGTTGTAAGAGAAAACACTTAGTTTCCATGAGCTTGGCAAACTGAGAAGCCTTGAGTGTGCCGAGCACTTTTCTAGAAAACTCCTTAGCGATGCAAATTAATGGTGGGGTAAAACAACAAGAAGAGAAATCTATTTTGCTGGCACGGTAGCCAGCGAAGTCAAGGAGTGTGGTTTATTTGATTTGGATCCTCTCTTCTCCCTTGACTAAGGAATCAAGTGGAAAGATAGACTGACAAAAACAAAAACCACTTGCAGTTTTCCGTGATATTTTGTACCCACCCCTGGAATGCCAAAGCTATTTATTGTGTGTAGAATGAAAATTCTCAAAGATGAATTTTGTGGAAATCGGGAAATTCAGTGTAGACAATGTCGCAGGATAATGTAGTCTATGTGAGCAATATGTCTTCCTTTATTGTACTAAGGCCTATCCTTTTGGGGAGGGGATCTTAGTGTAACTTACGCAATGTCAGCAGGGGTGAGGAAGAGGTCATAGAATAGAACCATCTGGATAAGTGCGAACACTTGGAAATGAGAGGGGGAGGGCTGGTTGGAATTACCTGTGGGAAGAGAGGGTTTTGTTTACTGGGGGAGGAGGTCCTTATTACACTCCTAAAACCTTTTTTTCACATGCTTGTTTCCTTTTCACCTCATGTTATTAGTATCCCAAAGGAGATGTTAAGATTCAAAGCCTCCAGGATGTTTTACCAGGAGTACAACTCCAGGGGGAGCTATTTAGATAGACCACAGCATTAGAAGTGCTTCCAAGCTCTGCAATGAGGCAGCTCCATCTTGGAAGCTCCCCAGTCCCCGGGCCAGACCCTATACCTAGAAGCATTTGCTCTGAGATCCTCTACACTGCTGAACGTGTCCACATAGGACTTCTAGATGTCTGAAGCCAAGAGCAAAAAAGACACCATTCCTGTGCTTAGTACTCACAAATGGCTCTTGATTTGGAGATTGGGAAAGTGTAGAGAGAGCTCATTTCTACATCATTATCTTACATGCATGTATTTCTGTTTTGGTTCACTCTGATTTGTTCATTTCTCACCTTCCACCACCACTGCTACCTCCCCACATTACCTAGCCCTGCACATGGCATCCTGTGAACTGGTATCTTAATCCTTGGTCCCTGCTCTTTGCTCCAGGGCATTCTCCCATGGTGGATGAGCGTGAGGGCTTATTGATGAGAAGCCTGCGATCCCCATGTTGGCTACTCCTCTGAGCCACTCATGCTAGACGGCCACCCTGGGCTTCTCCCTCAGAGAGGTAGGGACAGAGAGCATTATAAAAGCAGAAAGAAAGATTTGGAGCCAGTCAGGGGAGTGGGTCATGTGAGGACCTGCTGAGATAACAAATGAGCTTGCCTCATCACAGAAACACATATATTAATAGGCCCTGCTGGAAATGGGACACCAGATCAAGTATATCTCCCTGTGAATGCTGCTTACAACAGCTAGTCTCTTGCTGCTTTTCCAGAGATCTGTAATCTCAAACTAGAGTGTCTTGCCTACTTGGGTGACCCTCTTACATTTGTCTACTAGCATTAGAGTCAGTCAAAGGGCAGAAATCATTGCCCAGGGGTGATCCCCTTCCCAGAAGAGTTATCATTCTTTGAGGACTGGCTAAGATGTATGTTGGGAACTATACAACTTTCTCATTGCTGCTGTTAGGAGGAGGGTGATGGCCTTCCACTTTCACAACCTCCTTCTCACTAAGTAACTCAGGGACTTAGAAGTAAATGGGCCCTTTAATTTCTCCAGATGAGAAACCCTGATCCTATACTGGGCGTGAACCAACCAGAATCCTGCTGCTAGTTATTAGCTCCTTCAACTAATACTCGGAGCATGTAATCCAGGCCAGACACTATGAGGGTCTTAGAGAAAACACGATGGGCCAAGACAGTGACCTTACCTTCGAGGAGTTTGCTGTCTAGACCTAGAACAGTTGTCCAGGACATTCGATGTATAGCTCAGTTCTTTTCTAGTCATGTCAATCAGAACAAGAGAGAAAAAGGTAGCTATGATTTCATTAGAGGCCTATGACCTAGGAACTTACTCTGCAGTGGTGTTCACCATGAAAATGAAATACTTTTGACAAGAAGGATAATTTTGTGGTTTTAAAATTTTAATTAAGGCTCCCTTGCTACATTCTCTTAATTTGAGAATGAGAGAGGTACCACGGTATGAGATGAGGTTGACTCCAGTGGTGGAGATGGCTAGACCTTTGGAGCCAGATGCCATGGAGCCCACCATCCTGGCTCTAGGACAATGATGTCCTCCTCTGTGCTGGAGAGTTAGCATTTAGTACCCAACAACTTATATGTCAGCATGTGTACTGTTCAAAATTGAAGTCTTAGAATATAGTTTTAAAGGCTAGGGAGTCTTTCCCAATGGATTATAAGCCCTGCAGATGATTTTGATAGCCACGTACACTAATATGCATGCAATGGAGCTACTTCTTAGGGA